TCTCCGTAATATGAGCCAATACTTTACAACAGATCTGCTTCTATACATAAAACAGTACATATAACAGTACATATAACACCTCTCTTGAGAGAGATAGATAAATGTAGACACAGATATGCATCTATAACTATGTAGATATATCTCTGGAGAACCCTGACTGGTACACGAACACTTCCTTGGGTGGGCCTAGTTTAATCAGGTGGCCTCTTTAAACGTAGGTCTAGAGGGCAGAGATGAGAAGCATCAGTGATTCTCCTGCTGGCCTTGAAGATGCAGTCTCCATGGGTTCCAAGGTGCAAGGACATGAGTTGTGCCTCGTGACCTTGGAAGGGGACCCCAACTTCAGGTGAGGCCGCAACCCCAGCCGACACCTGGATGCAGCCCATGCAGCCCTGAGCAGAGGGCCCAGCTCAGCCGTGGGCCTGGACCCCCAACCCACGGGGAGCTGAGAGAAAAGGGGCTGTTGTTTGAAGCTATTGGATGTGTGGTCGTTTGTCCCACAGAGTCACTAGTACACTTCTCGTGTGAGTCTGCTCAGCTGACCACAGCCTGGGGGCTTTACCAAGGGGAGTATATTTCCTCTCATTTCTGGAGTCTGGAAGTCCACGGCCACGGTGCCATGGGACTGCTTCCTGCTGAGGCCTCTCTCCTTGGCGTGTAGACAGCTGTCTTCTTTGTGTTCTCACACGGTCCTCCGGCTGGTGTCTCTGTGTCCTTGTCTCTTCTCACAAGGACATCAGTCACATGGGACCCCGTCCCACCCTGACATCCTCATTCTACCTTGATTACCTCTCTAAAGAGCTTATCTCCAAATAGTCACGTTCTGTCTCAGAAGAAAAGGTGCTAGCAAATATGACAGGGTCGGCCCCTCTGAGCTCCGAGTTGGAGACAACAGGAAGCTGCCATCTGTAAATTTTTGCCACACATTTTCAGGGAAACAAAGTCTGTCTGTGATTGGGTGACAGAAGTAGCAGACTCAAGAGGAGGAGGCAGGGAGGGACAAGCCTCGTCTGCACTTCTGACTGGTCCTGATGCCTCGGTTTCCCCCTCCCCAGATTGGGAAGGGGTGTAGGGGTGGGGATCTACCATTCCATGTGCAGTGAGGCCTATAACGGACACAGGGGGCAGGGCCCTAAGGTCTGAGCACTGCCTCTGCCCCACACCCTCCATGACTCCCCTTCACTCTCGCCCTCACAACCCAATTCCTACCTGACCTACAAAGCCCTGTGGGTCTGGCCCCTGTTCACCCCTCTGACTGCACCTGGTCCCATGGCTCCCCCTCTCACTCCAGTCAAGCCTGCTGCTGCCTCAGGACCTTTGCACCCACTGTGCCCTCTGCCTGGGGGGCTCTTGGCTGCTACCTCTCCTGCTCCAGTTGCAGGACAGTTGTCACCTCCTCCTAGGGGGCTTCTCTGTCTGAAGCTGCACCTCTCCCCCACCCAGCCTCCAACCTGCTGTGCAGTCTCAGCGCTTTCACAGCACACCCCCAGTGGGGATTTTCTTTCTTTCTATTCTTTTTTCGGTTTGTGTTTTAGACTTGACTTCAGGAAAGGGAGAGAGAGGGAGAGGGAGAGGGAGAGAAATATCAATGTGTGATTGCCTCTCATGCGCCCCCTACTGGGAATCCAACCTGAGACCCTTTGGTTCGCAGGCCAGAACTCAATCCGCTGAGCCACGCCAGCCAGGGCCCAGCTGGGATTTTGTTGTGCAGACTCCTGCGGGGACAGATGGGACTTGTCTTACTCGCAGCTGCACCCACTGTCTCTCCACCCAGGAGGTGCTCCATGAATGTTTGTTGATTTACTAAATGTCCCTCCCGTTGCGAGGACTGGGAGAGAGGAGCCTGGTAGTGAACACCTTCCACTCCCTGCAGGGGCAGGCTCTCCACGAACACCAGATGAGGGCAGCCCCACCCATGCATGATTCTTAATCTTGGAGACTAGAGAAGGGCCCAAAGTGCAGCGGTGCAGGAGCCCCCAGCGCCGGCCCGGGGTGTTGGCGCCCCCTGGTGGAGCGCCCCAGGTCAGAGCTTGCAGAGCCTGAGTCCTTGGGTGGTACCAGGCCCGGCCTGCCAGAGCTCACAGCTGGCAAGCAGAGGCTGAACTTGGCTTCTGTGGGCGATGCAAGGCCGCTCTGGAGCCATGCAGCGGCGACCCCTCTCCCGTCCTGACCTCCAACCCTCCAGAGACCAGGGCTCCCCTCTCCCCAGCAAAGGCCGGGAGTGAGGGGGCAGGGAGCCCTGTGGGCACCCAGGCAGATGCGGAGGCCACTGAGGCCCCTGACACGGGGGCCTGTGCCCACGGCTGCCTGTCCTCCAACATTACATGGCACACTGGTGGTATAGGGCCAGGAAGGATGACCCTGGGCAGCTGATCAACCTACAGCTGCCGACCTCACTGCACTTCTCGGCCCACCAGGAACTGGACTTCTGGTGACATCACTGGCTGCCTGCTGCTGGCGCCGGGCAGCCCCCTGACTGCCAGGGCTGTGGGCCCACAAGGACGCCGACCCCGGCCCCAGCTGACCAGACTTGCAAACCCGCTGTGCCAGTCACTCACTTCCTTGCCCTGTGAGCATGCACAAGCCACCTACCCCCGTGCCAGCTTCTCATCCCAGCTTCACCAGTGAGGCCGTGAGGCTTACATCAGACTGGGGTCTCCAGGTGGTGGGGCTGGGATGTATACTTTTAATTCCATAGCCTTCCAAGTTTTGGCATGGTTACGGCATGGTCACACCTGGCCACTCTCATTTTGCTCTCTCTGCTAAGACAGAGGCGGTTTCCCACCACAGTCTTTCATAATGGGCTGCTGCTAATTTTATCAGAGTGTCATTTGGAAAAAAAAAAGAGAGAGAGAGAGAATATTTATAGTGAGGATACTTAGAAATATTACCCTTTAATAGTTAATGACTATGAGGGCTTTTCAGAAGTCCTTCATGTCCCTCCCCTTTCTCCCCATGTGGGTGACATCCCAGCTCTGCCACTGTAGCCTCGGTGACCGTGCACCGTGACCTCAGTTTTCCCCACAGAAAACAGGGACAGTCTGTTCCCTCTCTGTGCCCAGGGGAGGGGGACCTCAGCGAGTTGCCTGGGTGCCAGGGGCCCGGGGGAAGCATCCTCACTGTTGTGTGTCTCTGCAGACACTGGGGGCGTCCAGGGCAGCCCCAGGCCCAGTGGCCGAGGCAGCTGTGACCACGGGCCCATGAAACACAGACTTGGGGGGACCCTGGGAGAAGCCGTGTCCGAGGCCCCCTTTCCTGTCCTGCAGTGGACGAATAACAGCCCTCAAGGACACCCGAGTCCTAACCCACAGGACCTGTGAACCTGTCACCTTACATGGTGGAAAGGGGGCTTTGCAGATGTGGCTGCATCTGAGTTAAGGATCTTTTTGTTGTTGTTGTTGTTAAGATTTTTATTGATTTATTTTTAGAGAAAGAGTGGGAGGGAGGGAGAAAAAGAGGGAGAGAAACATCAATGTTGCCTCTCATGCGCCCTCTACTGAGGATCTGGCCTGCAACCCAGGCGTGTGCCCTGACTGGGAATCGAGCCGGCGACCCTTTGGTTTGCAGGCTGGCACTCAATCCACTGAGCCACACCAGCCAGGGCTGAGTTAAGGATCTTGAGTGGAGGAAATGATTCTGGTTACCTGGGGGCCCTAAATGTCATCCTCATGAGAGGGAGGCAGGAGGTTATGAGTCAGGAGGACCTGGGACGACAGAAGCGGAGGTCGGGGTGACACACTTTGAAGGCAGAGGAAGGCCCACGAGCCAAGCAATGGGGGCGCCTCCAAAAGCTGGGAGGAGCACGAGCACAGATTCTGCCCTTGGCACCCCAGAAGAAACACCTTGACTTGAGCCCCTGAGACCTACCTTGGACTCCACACCTCCAGAACCACAAGAGAGTTAACAAGCACGCTTTTAGGCGGTTCATGGTCCCGTGTTACAGCAACCACAGGACACACGTGCACCTCCTGCCACAGTACCCTGGAGCTGCACTGAGACACCCCCTCCCACATTTGGCCACCCTGTCCAGAGACAAGAGGACCCCCTCCCCGCAGCCCCCCAACCTGCCAGCCCCAGCCGTTCTCTGCCTCCCCACACCCTAGGGACCCTAGATCCCCTCTGAAAATGTCTTGGGGGAAACTGTGCCCATGCTCTCTCCTCCCCTCCCGGCACAGCCAGGCTGTGGCCCAAACAGCCCCTGATGTCGCCCACCAGGGTAACGGGCCCAGTCTGCAGGTGCCCCTCCCTCCTCCCCTGCTCACAGGCTGCATGTGGTTAGAAAATGCAGGATTTGGGGATCCCACCCCCTGAAGCCAATTCCCCCAGCCGGCTGGAGACCTTGAGCACAGTGAGCCCCTCCCGGAGCTTCAGTTTCCCCAGGACACTGGGCCTGCAGCAGCGGGAGGCAGCAGGGCACCACAGGGGTGCCTGCTCCACAGCGGAGGTTCCTGTGCTGTCTCCCCCTCCCTCCGAGCCTGCACCCAAACCCCCCTTGGCGCCCCCTCCAATTAAAGGTCCTTAACACTAGCTAACCGCTAACTGCAGCAGTTGACTCAGCTCCTGGCCTCCCCTCCCTGCCCAGGCCTTTGTCACCTTAATTGGCAATCTCCAGGCACTTTTCTCTGCCTCCCCACCCACACCACCCTGCCCCATATCCCAGGTCCAACTATGTGCTAATTGGGTCCCTGGGGGGGCACACAGAAAGCCCCCTCCCCTGCTTTCCTATATCAACCCCCCACCAACCACCCCTCAAACCCCCAAGTCCAGCTCCTGGGACATAGGGACCAGGAGGGCAGAGGAGGGATTCTGGGTCCTAATTTCCAGGGCCCTACCCCCTCTTCCGTCCAGAGTGATCCGCCCTTCCTACAGGCCATCCATCCTTGTTATGTTCTGCAGCCCTGAGCCCCCAGCCCTGGCTACTCCTCTCTCCTCACAGATTTGAGGGGTGCTTTCTGATCAGCAGGAATATAGTGGAAGGTTACCCCCAGATCACCCAGGCCATGCACCCTGGGGCCCCCACAGCCTCTGCAGTCTTCGAGCCCAGCCCACGAGAGCTGTGTGCCTTTGTGAGCGGGGCAGCTGCCCGCATGCTGCGCACCTTGCACCCCCGGCGGACCCGGCCCCCCAAAAGGAGACCCAACCACAGGAGGTTCCTGCACAACCAGATCTGCAGGTGAGGAGGGGACAGGAGTGGAAGGGGTGGGGAGGAGATGGGTCCTAGATCTGGGGGACATGGGGCCCAGACAGAACTGAGAGAAGTGGCCCCCAGGGCTGGATGCAGTCAACACACAGCATGCATGTATTAAGCACTGATGGTGTGCTGGCCCCCTGGGAGAACCGCCAGGGAACAAAGAGGAGCGCACTCCCTGTCTTCACGGGCACATGTCCAGCGGGGGGGGGGGGGGCAGGCGGTAAATGATCCATGTGACGCGGCAACGTGGGCGAACCTTGCAAACACGGTGCTGAGGGAAAGCAGCCAGACACCACGGCCACAGATGGTGGGTTCCCGTGTCTGCAACGTCCACAAAGGCCAGCCCAAAGACACAGCGAGCAGATCAAGGCCACAGAGGGTGGGTTCCCGTGTCTGCAGTGTCCACAAAGACCAGCCCACAGACGCAGCGAGCAGACCCAGGGCTGGTGGGGGCTGGGGAGGTGGTGGGAGTGACTGCTTGTGGGGAGGGGCTTCTTTTTGGGGTGATGAAAAGCTCAAACTAATAGAGGTGGTGGTTGCACAACATTGCGAATGTACTAAATGCCACTGAACTGTGCACGTTAAAATGGCTCATTTTAAGTCATCTGAATTTTACTTCGATTTTTAAAAATTATACGGTGTGCTAGAAGGTGGTATGTGCTGTGGAGGTGTGCCAGGGCAGGGCTGGCATTTTCGGGAAGGTGTTAGAAGGGAAGTTGCACTAAGTAGGTGTGATGTGGGAGCAGAGGCCTGGGGGACGGTGGGAAGCAGCCAGCAGGTGGCAGAGGGGAGGGCATCCCAGGCAGGGCCCCGCGGGTGCAAAGGCCTTCACACAGGCTGTTCCCTTTGCTGAGCAGTGCCATTCCCACAATATCTCTGGGAGTGTGAATAGGGGCCTCTGCTCTCTCGGACCTCTGCGCAGGCCTGTCCTGGCTCCCATGCTCCGCCCAGTCCCACCTGCGCTCTCCCCTCACCCTGTGACAGCAACCATTGCTCCTGCACTTGCTATATGCCAAGTACTCTGTGCTAAGGCCACAACAGAGGTGTTACTAAGGCTCCAACATGCCTGCACAGCAGGTTCTGCCTTTATCCTCAAGTTACAGACAGGAGAGCTCTGAGAGGGTTGATGCCTTGCCCAAGGCTACACAACCAGTGAGTGGATGCAACCCCAGGTAGTCTGAGTTCATGTTCTGTACCACTTTGTGATCCTGCCTGGAGACAGCACCTAGGGACTTAATGGTGATGATGATAGTGATGGTTATGATGATGGTGATGAAGATGGTGGTGAAGGTGATGGTGGTGATGATGGTGGTGATGGTGATGGTGGTGATGGTGATGATGATGGTGATGACCTAGTGGTGATGTGATGGTGGTAATGGTGATGATGGTGGTGATTATGGTGATGGTGGTGATGATGATGGTGGTGGTGGTGATGGTGGTGGTGGTGATGGTGATGATGGTGGTGATTATGGTGATGGTGGTGATGATGATGGTGGTGATGGTGGTGATTATGGTGATGGTGGTGATGATGATGGTGGTGATGGTGGTGGTGGTGATGATGATGTTGACAGTGATGGTGGTGATGGTGATGATGGTGATTGTGGTGATGGTGGTGATAGTGATGGTGGTGATAATAACAACAATTAGAGTAGCTAACACTCATCTGACACTTGATAAGTGTCAGGCAGCACTTTAGTATTAAATCATAATAGTCACTCACAGTGAGTATGAACTCATTAATCCCCCACAGCAACCCTACGACGTAAGTCGTAATCCTCATGCTTGAGTGAGAGAAGTGAGGCACAAAGAGGTGACGTGAGCTGCTCGAGGACCTGTTATCCCGTAAGCAGGTAGTCCCCCCAGCCAGCCCAGGACCTTGTCCCAGGAGGTCTAACAACCAAATGTGAACAAGTGGGAGCCTGGTCCAGCCTAACCCCTGCCCCCACACCACAACCTACTTCCACCAGGATGCCCAGCCCTGGCCACACCCAAAATGCTCCTGCCTACCACAGAAGAGGAAAACACGCATCTCCCCAAATAGGGCCTCCTAACTCCGCTTCAGCCCTCCTCAACAATGGCTCCAGGGCCCCTCCCCCTCTTCAGCACCCATCAGGGTTCCCTACACCCACCCAGTCTGGCCCCTGTGCTAATGCCAGCTGCCCACCTCCCAGGTTTCCAGTCCTCCCCCACTCACATTCCCTGCTCCCAGAGCCATCTTCTCTGCTGCACTACCAGACATCACCACTCCCTGTGCCTGGCTCTGCCACATGCTTCCCAGAGACCCAGCCCACCTGCCAGTGGCCTTGGGGACAGCTCGGACCACATACCCCTGGGCAGCCAGCTGAGCTTGGTCATAAATCCAGGTCAAAGGCAAGCTCTCCTCAGCATCTCCCTACCCACGGCCTCCTCCTCCCTTCAGGTTCCACAGGAGACCCCTCCCACTCATGCATATGGATTTCTGACATTTTCTTGTGAAACATTTCAAATCTACAGATAAGTCAAGGCAGCTGTCTGATGTGGGGGTCCTCAAAGGTGGTCTCCAGCCCAGCAGCATGACCTCTCGACATCTCCTGGGAACGTCTCAGAAATGCAGATTCTCAGACCCAGCTCGGACCTGCAGAAGCAGAAATTCAGGGGTCCAGGACCCTGTGTTTTCACAAACCCTCCAGGTGTTCTGTGGAGAACCATAACCTGACTGCCACTCACATACCATCACTTAGCTTCTAATGTCCATACTGTCTTAGCACCCTTCCTTCATCCAGGCTTTAAAAATAGTTCAGAGTGAATTGCAAATGTCATGACTCATCAGCTCTAACGTCATTTATGCGTAGTTTGTCGGAGGCCTTGAGAGCTTGTTGAGAGGTTCTAGCAGGGGAGCACAGCTACATGTATGCCCTTGACCAAAGACCGGTCCTCTCCTCTAGTTGGGAAGGTCGTCCTCTTCAACCGAGTGCGCAGCGTTGGAAGGGATGCACATGGATTGGTGAGGGAGGGAGGGGACGCCCACCTAGCTAGCCAGATCAGCCGAATCAACTCTGGCAATCAATGGCAAGACAGGTGTCGCAGCCTGATCGCCCTTACATCCATCGGAGGCCATATATAACATATAAGGTTGTGAATCCTCTCTTTCTCTCCCTCCCTTCTTCCCTCTCTCTCTCTCTCTCTCTCTCTTTCTCTCTCCCCCTCGCCCTCCATCTCTACCTAAACCTCCAGCTCTGGCTCCCTCTCCTCTCTCTCACTTAACCTGACCTCCCATTTCTCACCATTTTCCTTGGGGCACTCAGAGCATGTCACTCTCCTCCTTGGCATCAAAGACGGTGTCAGAGCTGCAGCTCTCACTGATTTACTTAAGAGCCGGATATATATTTTTTTCTCGTAATAAAATACACAGAACATAACATCCTCTACATTAACCATTTCAGGGAAGACTTCAGTGGCATTTTGTACATTCACAGTGTTTTGCAACTATCACCTCCATCCAGTTCCGGAACATTCTTATCACCCCCAGGGGAGACCCTGCACCCGTCATCAGTCCTTCTCCATCCCCCTCCCCCAGCTCCTGGCAAACACTGATCAGCTCTCTGTCTCCGGGGACTTGCCTGTTCTGGACATCTCCTGTGAGCAGAATTACACAGTATCAGACACGTTCTCACTGATGGGACCAACCCTCGCACCCAGGGACGGGGTGTGCCCTGCCCCAGGCCCGCTGCAGCTCCTTCCCATCAGCCACCCCCCAACTGCTCTCACTGTCCGGCGACTTAATCAGTTTCTGAACTTGGCATTCAGTTGGGTCACGTGGCTACTTACTGTGAGTCTTGCCACCTTGGCACACATTATGCTTGGACATTATTTTGCCAGAACTGTCGTAATCAAACAGCACAGACTGGGCGGCTTGAACAACAGGAACTTCTTGCTCTTGCACCACTTTGGAGGCCGGAAGTCTGAGACCCAGGTGTGGGCAGGTGTCAACAGTCCTCTTGTCCCCGTGTCCTCACACGGCTCTCCCTGTGTGTCCCAACACCAGTACTATCGGGTTAGGAGTCACCCTAGTAACGTCATGTTAACTTCAATCACCTCTTTGAAAACCCCATCTCGAAACACAATCACTTTCAGAAGTACTGGGGGTTAGGACGTCAACAGGTGAATTTCAGGGGGTCACAATCCATCCCCTCACAACTTGTGAAACCCATCGATATTGTCACTGAGGGGAGACCAGTGCGGGCATCCAGGTGGGAGGCGAGGGAGACACCAGCCAGGCGAGGGTGAAGGGGCTCCATGGGGAGCGGAGTTGAGAGCTAGGAGGAAGAAGAACCCATAGGTGTCCCTGTTACAGATGTACTCCTAGCCCACAGCAGGGTTTTTTTTTGTGCACATTTGCATGAAATTCCTTTTTAAAAAATATTTTTTTATTTATTTTCAGAGAGAGGGAACGGGAGGGAGAAAGAGAGAGAAACATCGGTCAGTTGCCTCTAGTGCCTCCAATTAGGGACCTGGCCCGCAACCCACACGTGAGCCCTGACCGGGAATCAAACCTGCAGCCTTTTGGTTTGCAGGACGACGCCGAACCCACGGAGCCACACCAGCCAGGGCAGAAATTAATTTTGAAATGCAACCTTTTCTTAGGACATTTTTTGCTTTATGTGTTGGAACGTGACCATAACCAATCTAAATGTCACAAATGTGCACAGTGCACAAATAGAATTGTCAGACTCAAGGAAAGGGACCCAGGGCCGGGAGAAGAGCACTGAAAAGAAAAATGAGGAGGGCAAGAAGGGACAAAGCACTTCTGAGGTGAAGGACGTGGGGGACTCCTTTGAGGTCACCCAGCTAATGTCCATCTCTCCACAGGCAGTTTGCCAAGATTGAGGCCGACACCCAGCGCCTGGCCCTGTCCATCCTGTCCCAAGAGGCTCCTCCCCAGAGACCTTCGCCCCAAAGAGCACCCCGACCACCTCCATCCCCCTTCCTGGGGGTGGCCCATGCTGTGGCCCCCACCGAGGCACCTCATCCGGGCCCCAGCCTAAGCCTCGCTGTGCTGGATGCCTCCACCCTGGACCTCTTTGATGACATTGTACTCACCCCAGAACATCCCTCAGGGCTGTATGACCTGCCCCATCATGCACTCGGCCAGCCAGGCTTCAGGCAGGCCCAACATTCCTATGGTCCTCTGCCCCTGACCCTGCATGCCCTGGGGGGAGGGGAAGAGCTCTTGGCTTCTGAGGAGGCCTGGGGGGGCAGGTGGGAGATGCCTTGTGTCCACCATTTTCAGGGGATCCCAGAGGGCTGGGGGACCTGCTTCCTGTGACTGCCAATCACAACCCAGCTCAGGCCAGGACAAACCAGAGGCGCCCCCATGACAGCTCTCTAGCCCCCACCCTCTGCCAGGAGCCCCCTTCCACTCCTCTCCTGGCAACTTCTGGGAAAGTGACCTAAGCCCAGACTCCCATGGGAGACCAGGACCTCACTTCTGCCTCTTCCAGGCAGGACCCCTCTCTCCCTCCTCTACATTCTCCCTTCTTTCTTCGCAGCCCCATCTCCTCAGGAGTCCTCGCTCTAGCTGTGCTTGCGTGGCTCATTGCTGCCTAATGTCTGGTCTCATTTCATTTATTCTCAAAGGTGCATTGAGCATCTACTATGTGCTGAGGATTCAACGGTGAATAAAATAGACAAGGTCTCTGCCTTTGTGGAGTTCACATTTGGGGGGAGGCAGGTCAGGGCACTGCCCTGACAATAAATGAGTACATCCATCCATTTTTAAGTGCAAGATAAATTTCCATCTTCAGATTGGAATTGGTGCTGTGAAAAAGATAAAACGGTGACCTTACTAAGTGGCTACTTAACACTGGGTGTTCAGGGAAGGCCTTGAAAGACAAAAACGAAGCCGTGTGAAGGTCTGGGGCTCCAGGCAGAGGAAACCCACATGCAAAGGCCCTGGAGTGGATCCCTGGGGAGCAGCAGCCAAGGTCAGCGTGGCTGGAGTGGTACCAGGTGACAGATGAGGTCGGCGAGGTTAACAAAGGCAAACCGTGAATTGGGGAGTAGTTTGGATTTTATTCCAAGAATGATAGGAAGTTCTCTTCTGTCTCTGTCAACCCCATTTCCAAGCACAAAGTCTACACCCTATGAACACCATCCTAGAAGGCAGGTGCTGTACAGCTGGGGAAACTGAGGCTGCAGAGATTGGAGTGGAGGGGACCTAAGCTCCAGTCTTCATCGCGCCTTTAACCTTAACTGGAAAGTGCTTCTTGGGTCGCTGTTAACTTTCGGACCGGCCAAAAGGGCCAGGGTTGGAATCCAGGCCCTCCCCTGCCTGGATTCCCCTGCCATGGGCACGGCCCCTCCCTCCCCGTAGCGGACTCAGCTGTCCGTTTGTACGGTGCTCCGCCTTCTCTGCTCCCACCGCTCCGCTCCGCCCAGCCCGCCACTCACGCCCTCTGCCGCCACTCATTGGTCTGAAAAGCCTCCTTCCGCATTGGGGCGGAGCAGCGGCGCTTGCGGATTGGCTGGGAACGGGGGCAGGGCAGAGCTGGGCGAGCGCCGATTGGGCGGCTCGGCCGAGTCAGCGCCGCTGGACCGCGTGGGGTTGGGCCGCGAGTCGTAACACTGCCTAACAGTGACCCGGGGCCGGGAACCGGGTGGGAGGTCGTGAGCGGCGCAAGCCTGGGCTCTGAAAGGTGAGTGACACCGGACTCACCTGCGGAGGGGGCGGGCTGGGATCGAACTCAGAGCCTTCCGGATAAGGTCCGCCCTGACACTGAGGGAACCAGCCTTCCCGCCCCGCCGTTGGGGGAGTTGACGTTGTGGGACGTCCTGCGCCCAGGTCACACAGCCAGGGGCGGGACTCCTGCCGGGCCCACGCAACTAGCTTGCCAGGGACTGGGACCCTCCGCGTGTCGTCCTCGTGCTCCCCGCGTCACGGGCCAGGTTTCCCCGCGTCCCTGCAGGGTAGGTGGGTTTGACCCCCATGACTCCGAGGGAGAAATCGAGGCCCAGACAGAGAGTGAAACTTGGCCAAGGTTACACAGCTAGGAAGTCCGGCCTGCTGGGCTGGGTCCCCCGAGGCCACGGGGGGATCTAAGGATCCCCACCCACCCTTCTAGGTTGCACCCCCCATCGGGCCGCCTCTCCTCCAAGGACTTTGGGCTCGCTCCACCTGGAGATCCGTTCTGGACTCTTCCCATCACTCCCCCAGGGCACCCCCAAGTCTGTCTCCAGCCCAGACCTCCTCCCGACATTCACACTCCCCTTTGCCTAGTTTTTCTTCTCCCAAAACCCAGTTTCCCTGTCCAGGTCCCTAGTTAAACCCCAATACCTGCCACCTGTGGACCAGAAATCTGGGGGTGGGGGGTGTCTTCCTCCTTTCCCTTCCCGGGTAGCCAGTTCCACCCGCTGCCTGAATCTCTTGGTCGTGCCCCCTCCTCCCTGTGCCTGAACTGGAGCCCAGGTCTCACCCTTGCCCCGTGGACCCCATCCCCAGCTTCCCCACTCCCACCCCCAGCCTTAGCCTCCAGGCCAGCCTCACAGCAGCCTCCCCATTTTATTTTACATGGTGAAGAGTTTTAATGGACGTATACAAAACATGCAAGAAAAGGTACACATCACAGATAACACAACTCAAAATAACTCTTCACAAAGTAAATGCTCTGCTGTAACCATTATCCAAATCCAGAAGTCAAACATCCCCCACACCCCAGAAGCCTTGTACCCCTTTGTCAGTGCCCTCCCAAGGATAACTATTATCATAACTCTAAAAAAAATATTTTATTTGTTTTTAGAGAGATGGGAAGGAGAAAGAGAGAAACATCAATGTGTGGTTGCCTCTTGCATGCCCCCTACTGGGTCCTGACCTACAACCCAGGCATATGCTCTGACTGGGAATTAAACCGGTGACCATTTGGTTCACAGGCCAGCACTCAATCCCCTGAGACACACCAGCCAGGGCCCATTGTCCTAATTTAAATGCCACAGGCAGGTTTGCTGGGTTCCACCTTTATGCAGATCTCATTGCACTGATTCCTGACTACCCGACCTGTTCCACACTGAACAACATTCAACAGGAACAGAAAGCACACAGTGAAAATCAGACCTCACACGTTGTCCTTCAGTGACCTGTTCCCAGCCTGGAGTCCCTGCTGCTTTGGTACCGGCCGGAGAGTGCAAATATAGATAGCTGCAATGCACACACTTTGTTTCCTTCTTTTGGGGGTGCAAATGGGAGCACTGCTATACACAGTGTTCTGTGCTTTTCCCCCCAGCTGTTAACACCTTTTGAACACCTTTCCATATTGTTATTTAAAGAGTCTCCTTGTAACTTTTCCTGGCTGCAAAGAATTCCATGGCATGGATATACCATGACTTACATAACCAGTCCCCTAACCTCGGGCGCTTTGCTTTACTCTGGGTGGAGGGAGCCGCGTGGGCAAAGGCCCTGAGGTGGACCATGGCCAGGCAGCAGCTGCAGTGGTCCCCAGCGTTGGGGAGGCGGTGAGACAAGGCAGTGATGGGGTCAGCTTTGTCTCCTCGGAAAGATTGTTCCCTCGCCCTGTCCACTTCCTCTGGGAGACCTCTCCTAACCCTGCCTAGACAGATCGGGTTCCCTAGCAATCGCCATGTGAAAGTGCACTTCAGCGACATCAGAGTGCCCTCACGACGTGCCACCATAACGCTGTCCAGTTCCAGAATGCTTTCTTCTCCTCAAGCGTTAAGCAGTCCCTGCTCCGTCCCACTGTGCCACCCCAGCCCCCTGACCACCAGTGCAGTGGAGTGACCACCTGTCTAGTGTCTCTGTGGGCTTGACCACTGTGGCGGGTGGAACACATGGACTCGTACGTCGTGTGGCTTTTAGTGACGGGCCTCTCCCAGAGCACGTGTTAAAGCCCATCCACGATGTAGCGTGTGTCGGCGCCTCCTTCCTTTCCGAGGCTGAACACTGCCCCATCAGGCTTTCTCTCTAAGACCTGGAAGGGAGTTCAGTGGGCTGTTCACATCTGGTTAAACTAGAGGTTCAGAGGCCAAGAGTGGGACTGACTTGCAAGCTCCCAGAGCATGGATGCGCTGCCCGGTCGGGCTGTGAGGAGGGAGGAGGCACGGCCCAGGAAAGCTCAGCTGTTTTTCCCTCAGAAATCACATCCCACTCCCTGTGTTACTGGCAAGGGGCCTTTGGGCAGGTCACATCACTGCTCAAGCCTCAGCTTCCCCCTGGGGACAGGGTGAGGGTCACAGTTGGAGCCTGAGATGTGATGGAATAGTCGGTAACAGAGATGGCAGATATCCATATGCCTTTCCAGAAAGGAGAAGGCTTCCTTCCCAGGGCTCTAGAGGAGCAAGGCTGGGGTCCCGGGGATGAACAGGGTCAGAGGAGACTTCCTGGAAATGTGACTTCCCGGCTGAATAGGACACATTAAGAAAGAAGTGTGTCCCAGACCTGGGGGACAGCGGGTGTGAAGTCTGCACATGGGAAGATGGGGGTTCAGAGGGCCCTCCAGGATCTGAGTGCTTAGACCCTGGAGCTGCAGAGAAACCACACACACCTCTGCCTGACCCTGACCCTGACCCTTGGCCCCTCTGTCCACTCTCAGGACATGGCTGCCGTAAAGCCCAGCCTGGGCCGAGTCCTCCCCAGATCGTCCATGCTTTTCCTGTGCGACATGCAGGAGAAGTTCCGCCACATCGCTTACTTCCCCCAGATCGTCTCTGTGGCCGCCCGCATGCTCAAGGTACAGGACCCTCCTCCCTCAGGCCAGGGGTTCAGCACCCTCCACTCTCAGACCAGGGGCCTAGCCCTCTTTTCCCTCAGACTGGGGGTCCAGCCTCCAACGGGCTCGGGACTTTGTGTGCCCCCACCCCCACACAGGTGGCCCGGCTGCTGGAGGTGCCAGCCGTGCTGACAGAGCAGTACCCACAAGGCCTGGGCCCCACAGTGCCTGAGCTGGGGGCCGAGGGCCTGCGGCCAGTGCCCAAGACCTGCTTTAGCATGGTGCCCGTGGTGCGGCAGGAGCTGGACGCGCGGCCTCAGGTGCGCTCTGTGCTCCTTTGTGGCATCGAGACACAGGCCTGCATCATGGTGAGACCCCCAACTGACCCCTGGAAAACCCCACCCTCACCTGGGATCTCCCCATCCTAAAAAGGACATCCTTTCCTGACTCAGAACCCTTGATCCTCCCAGCATGACACCCTTCCTGACCCATGACGCCCTCCAAACATGACAATGATCCTCACTCAGGACCCCTCTCTACCTGGGATGCTCATCCTGCCCTAGGATCCTGTTGTACCCAGGGGGTTCTGCCCAGACCTGAGCCTCCCACATCCCCGTCGCAGCATCCCAGTCCCTCACCTGGGACCCCTGTTCTTGTCGGGAGTTGGCCCTGACCTCTTTCTGCCCCCAGAACACAGCCCTGGACCTCCTGGACCTGGGGTTGCAGGTCCATGTGGTGGTGGACGCCTGCTCCTCCCGCAGGTGAGAGGGTCCCACAAGGGGTGGGTGCACGTGATGTGGACGGGGCGCCCGGGAAGGCCCAGGGGTCTGGTGTTGGGGGACCATGGCACTGACACCCTTCTCCCCCTGCAGCCAGGTGGACCGCCTAGTGGCACTAGCCCGGATGCGGCAGAGCGGTGCCTTCCTCTCCACCAGTGAAGGGCTCATTTTGCAGCTTGTGGGTGATGCTGCGCACCCCCAGTTCAAGGAGGTACTGGCCCTCATCCCCCACCTCCCACACACCTGCAAATGTCTCCTTAGCACCCACCACGGCTTTGCAGTATACATCCGGGAACACAGAAGGCTGCTTCCTCCAGAGGGGGCTAATTTCTCACGGGGAGACACCCTGTCAACCATAAATCAATGACAGAAGCTGAAGGCAGACAGTAGGAATGGAGAGAGGGGTAAAGCAGGGAGGTGTTTGCATGGGGTGGCCTGGGAGGCCTCCTGGGAGAAGGTGACTCTGGAGTGAAGCAAGACCTGGAGGGAGCCAGGCAGACATGGGAAAGAACAGGCCAGCAGAAGCCCTGTAGATGGGGCCTCTGGACCCCTCCTCCCTCCCCTCCTCCAGTCTCTGGCACTCAGACCTAGCCTCCAAGCCCACCACCCAGTGGCTCTCCTAGTACCCAGGTCTGACCAGGGAGTTCCCACTGTTGCACACCCTTGGCCTGCAGGATCACAGGACATGCCCGAATTTGATATTCTGGCCCTCTGAGCTCTGCCCTCTTCTCTCCTCTCAGTTCTGTTGAGCCTTTATTGAGCACCTACTATGTGCCAGCCACTGTGGTGAGTCCTGGGGCAATAGCAAAGCCAGTCAGTATTCCATTACACATTGTGGCCTGGAGCTGGGAAGGGAATGACCAGAGGGTGTGAGAAATGAGATAATAAGCAACAGGGAAGACCCTCCGGGGGCTGGCCTTGAAGTGCACACCTGCGGGGAGAAACAGCCATCCATCCAAAACAGTGTTCCTGGCAGAGAGACCAGCTGGGGCAGAGGCCTGGCAGTGGGACTGAACCTGCTTCATTCCAGAAACTGTAACAAGAAACCCTGAGTGCTGGGTGCCTTTGGAGGAGCGGAGGCAGGGAGAAAGCAGGCCATGTGTCCCCAAAGATGTGGGATTTTAACAAGGGGCAGCCATGGGGACTTGTGCAGGGTGCTGGCCACAGTCAGGTCTGCAGTTGGGCAGGTGTCAGGAATGAGGGACACCAGGGTGCATGCAGTTGGGGTGCAGGCCCTTCTTATCTGTGTTTACTTTCTGGAGGCAATCATGGGGCTCCCTGATGGACACAATGTGGGGCTTCAGGAGAATGCACCCAGAGAGGGGCTTCGGGTTGTCACCTACTGACAGGCTGAATTACAAGTCTGGGGGGTCAAATGGAGGCCAACATGTAAGAGGCAGTTGGACAAATGAGTGTAGAGTTGAGGGGCAAGGTGTGGATTTGGGAATTGGGGGATGGGAGAGTTGAGATGACTTAAAGCCCCAGGACAGAGCCCAGCACTCTTAGTAGCCCAAGCCAGCAAAACAGACCAAGATGGCAAGTGATCAGGAGCTAAGTCAGGTGGGTATGGTGCAAGGGAAGGCCCAGGAAAAGTTCTTAGAAGAGGGAGTTGGTTTGGGCATTTGCTGTCAAGAGGGAAAGGGAGCTGAAGAGGAAGAAATGTCCCTCAAATACGCCTTGGACATGGGGACCCTGGACACTGCCTGACCCCCCTCCTCCCTGTACAGATCCAGAAGATCATCAAGGAGCCCGTCCCAGACAGCGGGCTGCTCGGCTTCTTCCAGGGCCAGAACCCCCTCTTCCGCTGAACTCCTACTCTGCCTTGAGGGGGAGATCTCCATTCCTCCTGTCACTGAGGCCTCTGTGGAAGTGCCTTCCCCCCATCCTTGGATCCCAAGAGTGGTGCAATCCACCGGGAGTACCGCCCCCTCGGGAGGGGAGGCGGGTGCTGCCTTACCATTGGGCAACAGCTCCCGGAAATGCAAATGTTACTTTGGGAGCTGGATGACCATTGGTGAGGCTGGGCTGGAGGCGGGGCTCGGCCCCGGGCCACTTCACGCGGGTGGGAAAAGGAGGGGGAGGGAGTGTCACAGACTGTGTGGGACCCAGACTCGAAGAATAAACTGATGTAGCTGTGGACTGAACCATTCTTGGATTTGGGGGGTACCCCGGGGGCGACTTGGGGCTGTGGGGGGGGGGGCAGAAGCAGGGTCCCCAGCAGGTGGGGAGGGGGAGGTGCCTCCAAGCCGGCGCGAGGCAAATGCGAGGACTGGCCCTATCACATCTGCGCTGAAAAGAACTGACGGCAGGGTCGCCCAGCAAGCTGCCGGCCGCCCCCCACCAGCGCGCGCACGCCCAGCCCAGCCGGCTGCAGACACGCGCTCGCTCTGCCTCCCCCGGCCGGCCCACCACTCCGCCGCCACCCCAGAATCCCCAAGGGTCCCGCATCCGGAAAGTGAGGTGAGCGAGACCGCACCCGGTATGGAGGGGGAAACTGAGGAAAGGGGGACATGGGGATGGGAGGATGGAAGAGACAGGCAAACGGATGAATGGATGAACAGATGGGAGGGATAGACAGCTTCATCTGAGTGGTCCCTGCGCTTCTAAGACGCAGGAGTCAGGGGACCCACATAGGGGCTCCCAGAATTTTGCAGCTCCTTTGGAAACCTGGGAGTCTGGACTCTACGAACCGCCCCCCCCCCATCAAGGCCCCCCCCCCAGCCCCCTGGGATTCAAAGTCCTCGTTCCCCACCCCACCCCCAACCTTGGGGACCTAGGAAGGCAACCTCTGAGTCCCCCGAGAACCCAGGTGCCAGAGCTCATAGTCAGCCTACCCCACTGGGGAATCAGAGCTCCTTAACCCTGGACTCCAGAACCGTCCCAGAAGGCTGGGGCCCAGGTGTCAAAACACCCAGTACGCCCTCTCCCCAGGGACTTAGGAGTCCCAGCCTCCCTCCTCCAGGAACCCTGGGACCAGGCGTCAGCGACCCCGGCCCCCGCCTTCCGGATCCAGGTGTCCCCCATCCTCACCCCCCAGCCTGAAGCTTCGCTTCTCGGAGGCCGCGGTTCGCGTCGCCATGGCAACAGGAGTCTATTTTGCACTGGGAACACAGCTCGCGCTGCAGCGCCCCTCCCCTTCTTGCCCCTCCAAACCAAGCGTGAGAGAGTAGGGGGACCAGGAAAGAGACTGGGTTTCCGGAGAGGGGGTCAGACACCAAGACACCCAGAGACACAGAGATCTGTAGACAGCAAACCTGGGAAAGAGAGACAGAGACATGGAATTAGAGAGGTGCAGAGATGGGGATACGTAGATGGGGAGACACAGAGACAGGATAGAGAGACGGAGGGTAGCAGAAGGAAAAGGGGAAATGCTGGTACACAGAAAACTGAGATTCAGAGAAGGGGACAGCGAGGCAAGAGACAGACGTGGGACAGAGACTAAGAGACGCAGTGATGTGAGGAGACGTGTACAGACACCGGCAAAGAGAGACCAGGACCCAGGACACATCCCGTTAGAGACAGAGACCTGCCACGGGAGGATGGATGGACAGGGAGACAAGCGAGAAGGCCTAGGGACCTAGGGGCGGGGGTGGGGGAAGCGGGTGAGGGAGTGGTCCACAGGATCAGGGTCTGAGCCCTCCTCCGCCAGAGTGCTTCCGGGGACAGTTCACGTCTCTCTCCGCTACTTCGTGGCTAGGGAAGGTGGGGGTGGAGGTAGGAGGGGCAAGTTGGATCCGCTCCTAACCCTGACCCTTCTGTTTGTCCCTCCACTTTCCCCCACCTGCTGGTCCGCCTCCTCTTGATCCCAGATCCGCACCTCCTCTTCTCTGCTTTCCACTTCCCTGCCCCAAACCAACCCTCACGGCTCCCCATATTCAGGGGCACCCTTCCCTCTGCACTCTGACCAGTGGGCTCTGCCCTGCCCACCCGCTGCTCGACCCTCAGTCCCCCCTCCACAGCCACCTGCAGACACCCCCTCCAGCCCCTAGCTTGAGGGGACCAGGGCATCTGACTCTTTTTCTGGGTCTCTGCCCCTTTGTGGGTGTCCGTTCCCCTCCCTGGGCTTCTGCCCCCCTCCCAAGGCTCTCTCTGCCTGGCCTCCTCAGGTCCTGCTCCATCTCTTCTCATCTCTGCTGCCTCCAGGCTCCTCGGGATTCAGCGCACCTGGCCCCACCCAGCCCTGGCTCCCACCTCCAGTTGGCAGGGTCAGGAGGAAGTAGGGGCCACTGGAGGTTGGGGCAAAGTGCTGAGCAAGGTGGCAGATGGGGCAGGGGGTTCTCCAGGAGCACAAGGACCTGGTGGGGCCTATGGGGGACCCCTTCCTCCAGCTAGCTCCCACAATCTCTGTCTATTCGTCTGTGTCTCTTAGGTTCTCTTAGGGCTGAGGGGGTTGGGGGCGCAGCCAGGCCTCCGACCCTGAGCTGCTGGGCATACAAGATGCAGGGAGTGGGGAGACTGGGCCCAGCGGCCCCTTCCTCTCCACCTGTGCAGGAGGAAAGTGTCTGTGTCAGGGAGCGGGGGTGGGGCTGTGTATGAGGGCATCACATGCTGGGTGACGGTGTGTTTGCACGTGTGTGCGCACCCGCACATTTGCATGTCTGGAGGCTGTGATGCGTGTGGTTGCATGTCCATGTGTAGCTGACTCGGGCAGATCCTGGCCCAGGTTCCTGAGCTGTGTGTGGTCCCAGTGTGTCACCATGCCTGAGTCTTGCGTGATATGGGCTGTGTCCAGGTGGAGCTGTGTGTGTGTGTGTGTGTTCAGAGGAGGCTCCCAGTGGACCATTGGGATGACACTGGGTGTCCTTGAATGCTGTGTCTGGGACACTGTATGGGTGTCCTGTTTTCTGTGTCGTGTCTGTAAGTTCTGTTATGTGTCTGTGTATAGTTTTGTGTGAGCTAAGGGATGAACTTGTTCCCCTCTATCAGATAGGCCACTGCGTCCGTAGGTGTGCGTCCCCTCCCCACCAGCAGGTGCTGCCCTGCATGGCACTGGGAAGTGTGAGGCAGGAGCAGGAAGCTGTGGGCCCCTTCATCACTAGAGGGGCCGTGTGTGTGTGTGTGTGTGTGTGTGTGTGTGTGTGTTGCTGGGTTTGAGGGATGTGTGTCACTGCTCCTTGCCCCCCAGAGTTGTCGACGGCCTGGAGTTGTGACTCCCTGGGAGTGCGCAGTTGGAGAAGACAACGGGACTGTCAGCAGAGGGGGGGCTTGGTACAGAATTCGGACTGAGCGGCAGCCTTTGTGCAGACGAGGCAAAGGCACCCCTGGCCCGTGTGGCAACCTGCACTATGGTTTGGCAGGCAGATGGCACCCTTGCGGGAGTCAGAGAAGGGGGCCCCTGACCACAGACGGATGCAGCCCAGCCGGCACACCTGAGAGAGGGTAGCCCCTCTGGATTCCAGCCAGACCCTTGTGCAGCACACAGCCTGCCCACCGTGCATGGCAGCCCCCAGCGAATGAGGGGCCCACACTGCTGTGGACGAGTGGCACTGCTGTCGACTGTCTGTGTGGGGTTAAGTCACCCCTGCTCTGTGTTCAAAGCCCCACTCAATCATTTGGGGTCTGTGGGGCTCAGGCAGGTGAGGAAGTAAGGGGCATTGCTGGAACTTTGGTGTCCCTATTGGATGTGTGCATGTGTGTGTAAGAGAGACAGACACACAGATAGGGCCTTGAAGTCCCTTGATTATTAGATCTGCGTAAGGGAAAGAAACAGCATTTAGGGGGACAGAAGGCCACAGGGATCTGAGCCAGTGGCTCTCAATGGGGGCAGTGGTGCCCCGGGGACAACTGGCAATGCGTGGAGACACTTCTGCTGTCACCACATGGGGAATGTGAGTGCTCCTGGTGTATGGTGGATGCTGCCGAACATCAGTCCCCAAGAGTCAGCTCTTTCTCTTCCCACCTGCGTGGTCTACAAACTCAAACTCCCAACTTCAATCTCTCTCCCTCTCCTCCCCCCACCCACATCTCTTTCTCCCGTCATTCCCTCCCGCGTCCCCCGCGGACTCATCCCGAACTCCTCTCCGCATGGCCCCGCCCACTCCCTTCCCAACCTTCCGGTCCTCCTCTCTCACCCCATTTCACCCCTCACTGTGCATCACCCACCCCACCATGCCTTCTCCTTCCATCACATCTGTCTGGTGTCTGCTCCCCAACCTTTCCTCCCCATCCATCACTTCCGTTGCTCCTTTCCACCCGCCGTTACCATTTATCATTCTGGTCTCTTCCAACCTGGTCTGGCGTGTTTCCGTTGCTCCCCCACTCCACTCCCTGGCGGGACTGACAACGTTGGGCCACGCCTCCCCCTCCCACTCATCCTGACCGCCTCCCTCCACCCACCTTCCCTCTCCCTTCTTCCTCATCCTTTCAGACCACCCACCTCCATATTTCCCCACCTCTGCACATTCCTCTCCCGCCCTCTTCTCCAGCCTCAGTTCTCTGCTCAGCCTGGCGGCCCCGTCGAACCTCCTACACGCACCATGCCAGCCCTCCAGCTCCTCGGGACCCTCCTACTCCTGGCCTCGACCGCTGGCCAGGCCGGGGCACGCCCGTCCAACGCCACAAGCGCTGAGCCCCCGGGCCCGCTGCCCGCTCTGCTGGCGCACCTGCGGCGCTTGACCGGGGCCCTGACGGGCGGCGGAGGCACCGCGGGTGCGGGCACCAACAGCACGAGGACCAGCCCCGCGAGCGGGACGGGCGCGGCCGCAAGGGCGCCCCCTCCGGCGGAGCTCTGCCACGGCTACTACGACGTCATGGGCCAGTACGATGCCACCTTCAATTGCAGCACCGGCTCCTACCGCTTCTGCTGCGGCACCTGCCACTACCGCTTCTGCTGCGAGCACCGTCACATGCGCCTAGCGCAGGCCTCCTGCTCCAACTACGACACGCCACGCTGGGCCACTACGCCGCCGCCACTGGCCGGGGGCGCTGGGGGCGTCGGGGGTGCAGGCGGAGGCCTCGGGCCCGGCCAGGCCGGGTGGCTGGAAGGGGGCCGGGCAGGGGGTGCTGGAGTACGTGGGGGCGAGGGCCCCGGGGGCAGCACGGCCTACGTAGTGTGCGGGGTCATCAGCTTCGCCCTGGCCGTGGGCGTCGGCGCCAAAGTGGCCTTCAGCAAGGCGTCCCGTGCGCCCAGGGCACACCGGGAGAT